ACTTTCTGAACAAATCGTCGGTTCATTTGTGGTATTTTTGCCGATTTGGGCCATAAGTATACTCCGTTTAAATGTATTTTTATGTCCTGTAATTGGTTTGGGATTATATCTAATTACATGCCATCCGCACGGCTTTACCAATAAAAAAGAAGTTTAATTATATTTTATAAATTATTAATGCAATTCTACACCGGTTTCCGAATAAATAAAGTGCTTAAATATAAATTAATACTTAATGTTTAGATTTTTATGTTTCTTATACAGGGAGGATTATACATAAAAGACATACCTGGGCGCTGACATTGTCACAACATGCGTGTGTTGCTGAGCAATTCAATACAACTTTTGTGAAAAGCCGTTGTAAACAACAAAAGTTGTATTGCATTGCTCAGCAACACACGCATGTTGTGACAAAGTCAGCCCCCAGGTATGTCCTTGATGTATAATCCTCCCTGTATTAGTATTATTATAATTTAAAATTTAAATCTGTTTGCATTTATAATTATAGATTTTAAATTCTGTTACTGTTATATATTAATATGAATAATTCGGTTAATTCTGTATTTTATTGATACTTTTTTATATACATTTTACTGTAATGAAAATTTGGTAAATATTAAAATAAATGCAATTTTACATTTAATTTAATACAAATAATTTAAATAAATAGTTAAAATATTGTATATTTTGGAAAACAATTTAAAATTATTTTCTTACTTTATGGATGATTAAATGTTACATTTTACTAAGATTTTAAATTATAAATTATAATTTATATAATATTCAAAAATTAATTATACGGTAACAATAATTTTTATATAAACAAAATTCAATAAAACAAAATTGGTGGAATTTGTTTTATTCCCCTATCTATAACAATTAAGTAATTTTTTAATACTAAAGTGTAAATTATGAAATAACAAAAATTATTAAATTTTAATAAAATAAAATAAAAAATAAACTCTATTGCTATTTTTGTGTAACAGTAATTGATAATAAGCATCTAGACTTAAAATCTTATTATTTTAAAAGTCGTTTGTTATATTCTATCAATAATTCATTTAATTGTCAAAAATTGTGCGTAAATTTGCGGTATGTATTGTACACGTTTTGTATAAATTAAATATTTTATTTGATTTAAAATAATATAAATATAAGTAGATAAAATTAAAAAATATTTTATTTGTTAAATATTATTTTTTTATATCTAGATCTTTAAAATCAAAATGACTTCAAGCGATGGTATAAATACGACGATAACAATTGCCGACAAAATGAATTATATATTGAGCCAGTATTGGATCGATGAAACCGATGAACGACTTAATGGTTATCCACTAATCTCTGGAGGACCGGAACAGTTCCTAACGATTATGTTATTATGGCTTTTATTTGTCACTAAATTTGGGCCAAATTTTATGAAAAACAGAAATCCATTTGTTTTGCGCGAAATTCTAATAATTTATAACTTTATATTAGTTGTAATCAACGCTTACTATATATACGCGTCCTTAAAGTGGTTAGAGTTTGGCCGCAAGTCTTTGAACCCGAAACTACCCGAAGAGTGGTCTGAGAAAGCAATCGCCGAATTACCGGAGAAAGCGGTTTACGCTTACTCTAAGTTATTTGATTTATTCGATACCGTATTCTTTGTGTTGAGAAAAAAGTCAAATCAAATAACATTTCTTCACGTTTACCATCACTTTATGGGTATTTTTCATGCATTTCTTATTAGTGTGCTTAAAAATCTGTAATAAAAATCTTTAATTTTAATCCATAGTTCCTGTGTTAGGATATATGACTGGAAAACTTTGTCCGCAAACAGTGATCGGAGAAGTGTTTTGTTTGCTTAACTCTATTGTACACACAGTTATGTATAGCTATTACCTGTTGTCGGCATTTGGACCCCAAATACAGCCCTATTTATGGTGGAAGAGATATATCACACGATTGCNCAGTTATGTATAGCTATTACCTGTTGTCGGCATTTGGACCCCAAATACAGCCCTATTTATGGTGGAAGAGATATATCACACGATTGCAGTTAATACAGTTCGCTATACTTATAGTGTACGCCACATACAGTGTGACATTGGGTGATATGAGCGCATATCCTGCAGGAGTGAAATGGTTGGGAGTTTTACAACCATTTGTATTCTTTTATATGTTTTTTAAATTTTATATCAAATCCTATAAAAATAAAAGTAAAACAAATTAAATTAAATTAATAAAATATTATATTTTATTATTGTTTATAGTTATAAAATATAAAATTTTCAATAAATGAATGAATGTTAACGAATTTGTGTGACTTATTAAAAATAAAAATAAACGCATTTTGAAATATATTTTTACCATTTTCTCACATTGAGTGACAAAATCAATAGATTTATAATTAATATTTAAAAATAGTATTACCCATAAAGTTATCATTGTTAATAAAATTAACATTACTATCATGTTAAAGTGATGGTAAATTAGGAATTAAATTCTAAACTGTTTTACAGAATGTGTAAGCAATGCACAAATGCTAGAAGCAGTAGATTATCTCAAAACAGTGAAATTTATTTACATATACAGTACAGTTTAAACCACAAAAAAAGGATTGGCATATAATGTATTTGTAAAGTAAGGATTGTTAATCTAGAATAGTAATTATTAGATAATAAATTGTGACGGTTCTTGTGTTGTGTGGCGGTGTTCGCAGAGGGGGCGCGCTTTGTGTGTGATTCGAGTTAAACTTCGGGACGGAATAACTCGGGAACTACTGGATTGTTCGGGACTTTTAATGGCTCAACTGAAAGGTCTTGGTGAGAGAAACATTTTAGATAGACTTTGAGTAAATCACCTGAGCTGATCCAGAGGTCGGTGAATGTAGTGATGGGTGTGTGGGTGATGTGTGCGCGCGAGTTGAGTGTGTGTGTGTGTGGGAACACCTGTTGATTAATTCACTAGGTTAAAATAACAATTATGCCTCACTTTAAAAATAATCTACTACATCTTGGTCAATATTGTACTTTAATTTACATGATCCATCATATTAATACTTATAATTTATATGATATTCACAAATTAATTATTCGGTAATAATAATTTTTATATTAACAAAATTAAATAGAATAAAATTGGCGGAATTTGTATTATTCCCCAATTTAAAATAATTAAATAATGGTGTAATTAATTAAAAAGTGTAGATTAGCACAAATAATAAAAATTATTCAATTTTAATAAAAAAATAAAGTATATTGCTATTTTTGTGTAACAATTGACAATAAGGATCCAGTCTTAAAATTTTATTATTTTAAAGGTCGTTTTGTTATATTCTATCAATATTTCATTTAATTGTTAAAAATTGTGTGTAAATTTTCAGAATTGGTACGTAAATTAACTTTAATGTGTGTAAATCTATTAAATATTTGATTTGATTTAAGATAATATAAATAGCAATTAAGTAAAACCAATTTAAACCAAAATATATTATTTATTAGCTTTAAAATAAGTGTTAAATCAACGGAATTGAGAGAATAATTCACTCATAGATTATAAAAATATTTAATTTTTTATTCATTATATTTCTATTAAATCAGGTAAATTATGTTAAATCCTAAGTGTGTAAAATAATCAGCGTGTTTACTGTAAAATATCTAAACTCCAGACTCATTATATCTACCATGATTGTTTCACACACTACTCTGTATTATTTTGTAGTATAAAGTTTGACTATTACTTCAAAATAGTAAAACTGTTTTAATATTTTAATTTAGATAAAAATTGCGAAATATCTAAATTAAAGTAGTCTTAATGTAATTCCTTAAGTAAGCGGCGATTATAAATATATTGTATTTTTTGGGAAGTAGTTATCATTTGGCACTTAAAATAATATTTTTAAAAATCTAGATCTTAAAAATCAAAATGACTTCAAGTGATGGTATGAATACGACGATAACAATTGCCGACAAAATGAATTATATATTGAGCCAGTATTGGATCGATGAAACCGATGAACGACTTAAAGGTTATCCACTAATCTCTGGAGGACCGGAACACATCCTAACGATTATGTTATTATGGCTTTTATTTGTCACTAAATTGGGGCCAAAACTTATGAAAAATCGAGAGCCGTTTGTTTTGCGCGAAATTCTTATGATTTATAACTTTATATTAGTTGTAATCAACGTTTACTATATATACGCGTCCTTAAAGTGGTTAGAGTTTGGCCGCAAGTCTTGGGACCCGAAACTACCCGAAGAGTGGTCTGAGAAAGCGATCGCCGAAATACCAGAGAAAGCGATTTATGCTTTCACTAAGTTATTTGATTTATGCGATACCGTATTCTTTGTGTTGAGAAAAAAGTCAAATCAAATCACTTTTCTTCACGTTTACCATCACTTTATGGGTATTTGATTTTATTATGTGATAAAACAATATTTTAATAAATGTTATTTAATATCAGTGCCAACGCTGGGATGGGTTGGCGCAAAGTTGTGTCCGCAAACAGTAATCGGAGAAGTGTTTTGTTTGCTTAACTCTGTTGTACACACAGTTATGTACAGCTATTACCTGTTGTCGGCATTTGGACCCCAAATACAACCCTATTTATGGTGGAAGAGATATATCACACGATTGCAGTTAATACAGTTCGTTATACTTATAGTGTACGCCACATACAGTGTGACAATGGGTGATATGAGCGCATATCCTGTAGGAGTGAAATGGTTGGGAGCTTTACAACCATTTATATTCTTTTATATGTTTTTTAAATTTTATATCAAATCCTATAAAAATAGAAGTAAAACAAATTAAATTTAATTAATAAAATATTATATTTTATTATTTTTTATTTTTATAAAATGTTTACAGCGTTTTTTAAAAATAAAATTTTTTAAATAAACGAGTGAATGTTAACGAATTTGTGTGATTTATGAAAAATAAACATATTTTGGAGTATCTTTTTAACGTTTTCCTTACATTGAATGACAAAACAAATAGATTTATAATTAATTTTTATAAATAGCCATAAACAACATGTTTAAGTGATGGGAAATTAGCAATTAAATGCTGCACTTTGTTACAGGATATGTACCAATGCACAAATGCTAGAAGCAGTAGATTATCTTACCATAAAATAGTGATATTATTTTACATAATTTATAGCCCACAGATATGATTGAATTTGTGATATATGTGTAAAAAATTGTAATATTTTTTATAGAGATATATTATTGTAACTAATTTTTTTAGTAAGGTGCCTTGTCTGTATATTCTGTAGCACACTCTATAAATCACAATTATCATGGGCGAATTAGAGTTAATTGAAATCCATTGTAATATTAATTTTTATATGCAAATATTACAAAAATAATCTTCCTTAATTATTAATTTTAAATATACTGCATTTTAACTACAATTCAGTATGATAATTGTGAATACGATCACTCTGCCCATTATCCACCAAGTTTAACATTACCCGTATCATTTTGAAAGAACTTGGTTTGCAATACCATTAGTAAGGGTCCATTATTATTAATAATCTATTAATAAATCAAATACATTACTAATTTAAATAAATGCAAAGTACTGTATCTTATCCAAGGAAAAATAAAAAATTCCTTGTTAATCAACCAACACCATAATGATACACATACCTTGTGTTAGTTGTTTACCCTAACTTGTAAGAAGTTACTATTTAAGAGATCTAGCATTTATTATAATCCTATGGAACTAATAATGATATTAAATTTATGCCAATTTATTGCATAGTGAGCCCCTTGTGTCCAATAATGTTTCCATTGAACTAATGCTAATCCTATGACAAGCCTCGGGTTTTAATGTATGTAAATGGCATAAGTGATGTGAAATTTAACATTTGATTAAATAAATTTATTTATAATAACTTCAAGAAAGATCTCAACTGTTATTACACATAATCAATAATTTGTGATTTTTAATCATTGCCTTGTTTTATATCAATATTATCTAAATTTTAATCACTGCTTTTTAATCTATACCACAGCATAATAATTATTAATTAATTCTAATTTTTAGTAATGCATAATCTCAATGGTCATGTCAATAAATAAACAACTTCATTGCATATTAGTTTTGATTTATTAGAGCAAATTTTGTTTATTCATAAATAATTATTTATTCAATCAAAAATATATTTATGAAAATTAAGTAACTTCTTATTATAAATTCCTACATTCACTACATATAGAATATTAATATTAATCACAGACAAACGACACCTTGATATTAAATAACTGCTCACGTTATGTACCAAACCTTATCCATAACTATTTCACGTGTTTTGCGGAACCATATACTGTGTGGCGATAATGTCTACAATTAATAAATAACAATTAAATCGTTTGCAACTCTTCCAAAACAATAACTAA